ATATTAATATATAATATATTCTCTAATATATAATATATATTCCCAGCATTTCTTGTTTAGGTTGATTAAGGTTTCTCTGTTCCCTTTGAGGCTTTTACTACTGATTTATCATTAGTATTGCTTTGCCGTGAACTTTTTTTTTTATCATGATGACTGGGAAGGAAGTGAACAAATAGCTTTGTTTATTGATTATTTTTTTTTTAATGCAGCTACAAATCTGCAGTCCAGAGGACGATTTATCTCCATTCTTTGATAAGCAGAGATGTATAGTTTCAGCTGAAAATAGTGGAGTAGGACACAGTTGATAGGTTTATAAATGGAAAGGCTAAAATAAATTTTTTTTGCAAACACATTGTTTGTTTTCTATAGAATTCATCGCTTCCCAGAGGGTTGTGTTCTGTCTAGAATATGAAAATAAACATATTCTTCTATTGTTGTCTTTAAATTTTGCTGGTTTTCGGTGAGAAGGAAAATATTATATGCCAAAAGGTTATTTAAAAAAAAAAAAGCCATGGTTAAATTCCTTGCATTAAATGATATGTGTAAAATGTTAGATAACATCATTTTTGCTTTGTGACAGGATTTATTAGGGCAACGCTGCATTGTTTGACTGTGGTATGCAGGCAGTGCTGCAGTTAACCTGCTGATACCTCTTTGTCCGCAGATTATTTCAGTGAGGATTGATGATTTAGAGCAGCTACCAGAGACGACTACCATTGATGCCTCCTCAATTGGGATTGTTCAGGTAAATTCGCCATTGAATTCTGGTGGCAGCTAAGTTCCAGGCCTACTGGAGGGTGAGGTGGGGACATCGCTTTTTTGGTACATACCATAGCTGGGTGTAGGCTGACGGGCAAGGAATGTGCTTTTTTAGAGAGTCAGCCCCAGATTAATATGTATAAGCAGAGGCAAGCTGTTGATCTGTGCTGGTAAAACAAAGAATTACAGGGTGAGGTCTCATTCCCTGAAATCAGGTTTTTGCTAAAGTTTGTTTCTTCACTTGAGAATCGATAGTAAACCAACTTGAGGTGATACGTCTCTTACTTGGAACTTCACTAGAGCAAAATGACTTGATGTTTTGTTTGGAAATGTGTTGCTCCAGCCGGAATTAGCCTTGGAACAGGGAGAATTACCAGAAGGGAAACAGCATATGAAAGCTCCTAAACGTGGCCAGAAACGAAAACAAAAGTCAGGTGAGGAAGAGGAAGCTCAAGTGCCTGAGGACCCTGCCTTCAGTGCATACACAGAGAAGGAAGGTGAATTCACAGGGAGTGTTGGAGATGAGACTAACTCAGCCGTACAGAGCATCCAGCAGGTGAGCTCCAGTAGCAGGATGACGGGCAGCAGGCATTGCTTTGAGGGATAACCCTTCTGTTTTCCTAACAGCAAGCAGAAAAGAGTGATCGGAACATTTCAGGTCAATCTGATAAATTGTGGTAATATGGAGATGAATAGAGACTTTAAAAAAATAAGGAGCTGGACCACTAAATTCTTCGTGTTTGTTTTGATCTCCTTTGGTGTCACCATCTCCTTGCTTGTCAGCTACCACTACCTGGCTGAGGCTGTGACTACAAGTGTGAAAGTTAATTCTGCTGCTTGTCTTGAATGCTGCATATTCCTCCCTTCCATTACCTTCTCATTTCTATGCTTGGAAGTTGTTATATTCCAGGCTTTCTAGGTACCCCTCTGTGTCTAACTTCTCTAGCTGGCCGTAGCAAGATACGAACCCATCAGCACTCAGGTGATCTTTCTTGATGCTTGGTAGTTAGTAGTCAGCTGCAAGATACAAGGTTGAGGTCACCTTTCTGTTTTTCCACAGGTGGTGGTGACCCTGGGCGACCCGAATGTCACAACCCCTTCCAGTTCTGTTGGGCTGACAAATATCACTGTTACCCCCATTATGACGGCAGCTGGAACCCAATTCACAAACCTCCAGCCAGTGGCTCTGGGCCACCTGACTGCCCCTGAACGCCAGTTACAGCTGGACAACTCCATTCTCACCGTGACGTTTGACACCGTCAGTGGTTCCACCATGCTGCACAACCGCCAAAATGACATGCACATCCAGCCACAGCCCGAGGCCTCCAATCCTCAGTCTGTGGCCCATTTTATAAACCTGACCACCTTGGTGAACTCCATTGCTCCTCTAGGGAACCAGGTAACAGAACAGCATCCTCTCACGTGGAGGTCAGTGCCTCAGACTGATGTCTTGCCGCCCCAGGCACAGCCAACGCAACAGCAGTCAGGACAGCAACAGGTTCAAGCAGAACAGCAACAACAACAGATGTACAGCTACTAATTTATACTCGGAAAAGATTTGAAATGGACAGTACTTAGAGACAAAAAACACACAGACTTTTGGAAAATTTCTCATAGGATTGTTTGCTGGATACCAAACAGAGATGGGAAAATGTTTATACAATGAAACGTAAGCTAAAATTGGCATAGCACCCTGCAACACCCTAATCCTCAGATTCTCATGCTGCCTCTAGAGCTTACACTGGCTTAAAAAAAAGCAAAAGGAAAAAAATCTCACCATAAATTTAGAAACCCCTCGCACTGTGTGTTTTGTGCAGTAAAATGGAGATTTGACAGGAGCATCATAATACATCTTAACCAAAGCAGGGAAATCCTAAATATGATGGCAGTGGTGATTTACAAAGCTCTTTCAGCCATGCCGTGTCACTTCTTTCCAGTCTGGAAGTTACATATGAAGACCTTGTTCACAGTGAGGTGGAACACACTTGTGGTCAGCTGGTACAGACTGAAATGTAAAGACACAAATGGGCAAAAGAATAATTGTCTTGCTTTTTATCCTTTTTAGCTCTTGTATCTAACAACATTGGTAAAGTAGGTGGAGGTTGGGGCTTTGGGGTGGGGATGAGTGTGGTGTGGAAGAAAATATACCAATTTCACTGAGCATTTCCATTTTAGTCATGGGTAAAACCCTGTACCCATAACACAGTGTTAGTGCTACTTGAGTCAGATAGCTGGTCTAGTGCTAAAGCAACTTTTATGGTCTTCAAGTCACCATCGAATCAAACCAGTTATGAACTGAAAAAAGAATGTGATACAGTTTTATGTAACTTTTCAAAACTGCTCTTTCAATCTTGCTTTTAGCTGGAAGGCCTAAAGAGCAATGAGTCCCCTTTGAATCAAGTTCAGGATGTGAATTTTTTTCAATTACTCATCTTTCATCATGTAATAAACATTTGAGAAAGCATTCTTTTTTATATATATATACATATATATATATATAGCCTTTGTACTTTACTGTGTGTTCCTGGTGAGTATTTGTGTGAAAAACACTGTTATCAATATGATACATTAATATTTTCATCCCCGTATTGCCCTTTCTCACAGAAACAAGGTATGGATTGAATGCCTTCTGTTTCCAAAACTATTTCCAAAATTCATAGCCATGCAAGACTGTGTGAAATGCAAGAAAAAAAGAATGTCTGAAGCATAATTCTGCCACATGGAGGCAGTATGCCCTAGTGTATCATGGGCAAGGGTTGCATGACTGGTGGGGATAGAAATAGTGGGTTAGGTCAAATACATAGTTTCTGATACGACCCTTTCATGCCATTCGCCGTACATTGATGTGCAGTCTGGACTTTTGCATGTCAAGAAGATAGTTCCCACAGAGAAAAAACAACTGATATCAAAAAAATGAACTAAATAAAAAAAAGTGTTGCTGCCTGGAATCCTGAAAGGCAAATCTGCCCTTCCAGCTATGGCTGAAGAACAAGGTCCTTTGGGGCAGCAGACTGAGCCACAGAATGGTGCTAGAGGTTTTTGCTGAGGATAAAGCAGCTGCTGTGTTTGACAGTGAAGGTAGATTAATGGTTGTAAAAATCCTGTCTGTGCCTATCGTATTTATGAAAATGTTCTATGTATTAGCAAAGATATGAGTAGGAATGACTTCAGCTTTGAAAGTCGGTATTAACATGGACTACTTGACCCCTAAAGGATGCCTTATAATCTCTACAAAAACTTATTCCAAAGTATAAATGTCTGGATATTAAAGTTAACATCCAATGTTTTTTTGGTGCCATAGCAGTGTCCAGAGGCTCACTGTGCTAGGCTCTGTGTAAAGCTGAGTTGCAACAGGACATGTATAGGAAAGGGATTTCTGGTGTGTCAGAGGAGCAGAACTACTTTTCTGTAAATGTCAACAAGCCTGTAAATGTCTGTGGGAGGGACAAGGATGCATATCAGAAAGAGAAAATAGTATCTTTTACTGGTGTGGGAAAGAGAATTTTTCATTCCCTACCCCCTTCTCTCTTCCTCAGATCCTTTTCACACAATACCATGAGATCCTGTAAATTTTGTTAGCCACCCAATGTCCTGAGAAGTGCAGTTTTATGCATCTCTGTCACCTGGATTATTTCACCACTGGCTCAAGACAGTTAAGTTTCTTCTCAGCTGTCCTGTCCATGAGTGCTTCCTCTTCACACCAAACCCACTGGTCAAAGAGGAAGCTATAGGTTTTATTTATGAAATATGTTGTTTATTTAGTTGAAGCTTTTTCCCCCTCCCCCTGTGTTTGATGCCTAATTGGTAAAGGCATGTTCTCTTTTGGCAGGATACTTTGGAGCGGGGGGAAAAAAGGGTTGGGGGGGGTGGGGGAAGCAAATGTAGAGGTCCTAAGTCAAGTTGATATGGTCATTAAAAGATAGCTAACATCTTAAAAAAAATAATATATATCTATACACACACATGGAGGGTTATAGTGCTGCATATAGAGTTTCTAGAAGATTGGGGTTTTGTTTAGACATACGTAAATGGTGATTAAGCTAAGTGGGGAATAAGAAGTTTTTTGCCTTAGCTGCAGAGTGAGTACATCTGCTCTATGTTAATACTACTGGTAGTAGCACTCATGATGCACTGAAACAACCTGAGTCATTTTAACATGTAGTTGCCTATTTGATAAGAATTCCATATGTAGGTAATCAGCCATTATAGAGACATCTCTGACTTCACAAAACCTCTTTATCCTAACGTGATCCTCTGGTACTCTGTACTCTTACACTGCATAGCATTCCTCCCATGCTAACTGGCCTCCAAAATCCTATCCAGGCAAGTTAGCATCTTCCTTTTCCAATAACAATTGATTCTAGCTGATTGAAAAAGAAATGATCACACAATAAATGCTTGCATATTGGTGGTCACATAGAAAAGAAATGTCTCCCTTCAGTCTCTTGGTATCCACAAAATCGTAGAATCATAGAACAGCCCAGGCTGGAAGGGACCTTGAAAGATCATCTGGTCCAACTCCAACCTTTTTTGGGAAAGGGAGCCTACAAGAGATTATCTAGCACCCTGTTTAGTTTCATCTTTAAAACCTTTGGTGACAGGGGCTCTACCATGTCCCTGGGGAGGTTGCTCCAGTTGATGATTGTTCTTACTGTAAAAATGAAATCCTATTCTGCTTTGGGAGGGAAAAACATAGTCACTGCAAGGGCTTTGACTAGGCCAGGGAACAGAAAGATCTCTAAAAGCTAATCATCCCAGAGCACTCCTTTTAGAAATGAACTTGACTTTCCCTGCAACCATTGCTATGTTATCTCATCATCTCCCAGTGTGACTTTATTATTACTACTGTTATTAACATCCCTATGAGAAAACAACTGTATCTTGGGTGTGCTGCAACATGAAAAATTTCAAAACAAATTGTTTCTTTTTGCTTCAAACAAATTATTTTGGTTTGAGACGTTGGAAATTTATACCTTTTTAGACAGAGCTTACCTTGGGACAAATAGTGACTGCCAGCTGCTCTCCTAACTAAGCCTTTTTCAGATGAATACCAAAGTTATACTGATGCTGTTTCAAACTGCACAAGAAATAAAACTACATAAGGGATGTGCAATCAAAATTTCCTTTCACAATTTGTTACTAGCCTTTTCAGCTGTACAGTGTAAAGGTTATTGTTTTCAGCCATGTGTTGGAGATTTTCCATAACAACTGTTCGGTAACAAACTGGAATTACTTTGAGCCAAAGGAGTGATGTTGTGTAGTGTTCTGTGTATTGTCATTGTTAACTGCTAAGACTATTATTTAATTGAATGCTGTCTGTGACACATGGGCGCTGAAGTAAAGGAGCATCAAGGTACAGAACTCTTTCTCTACCAGTGTTATTTTTTTCTGTTCCTTAATTAATGCATCTTTTTTTTTTTCTTCAAATAATACAGACTTGCTTCAAAACCAAGAAGCTTAATCATTATCTCATGGAACTTTGTACATTCCCACAATAAACAGAAACATGGGGCAGCTTTCTAAAATATTTATTCTATAGCTTGTTACTGGGTAGTAACAGAAAGCAGAGGAGATGATTGAATCTTTCTTGGCTATGGTCTGTGGTGAGTTCTGTCAGGAAAACCTACAGTATCAAGCGCTATAACACTTTCTCCAACTAAAATTTTCTTTTTAGATGTGTCAGTATAAAAAGTGAGTATTTTTGCAGAAACCTACCAGTCAGTCTCCTATCAGTCTAACCAGCTAGGTTTCCATACCTTTTTATTGTTCCAGAAAAGATTTGAAGTTAACAGCCAGGTAACGGTAGAATTTGTTTCTGGAACTGAATTTTCTGTCAGTTTGTCAGAGTGATTTACTAGATGCCTGAATTTCTCACCTTGAAAGCTCGGAATGGAAAAAATACCATACATCTGAATGACAGTCTTATAAAAACTACAGGTACTACATGAGAATGGATAGGGTAAAGAGCTTTGTTAGTATTGCTTTGTGAATTCTTGTTCGGTAATGAGACTTCCTTGGTGCTATTTAAAGTAATAATAATGTCACTCCTTCTAATTACTTTTGGCCTTACATTTATTATTAATATAACTGTTGGAAAATCTTTAACCCTTTGTATTGTTGGCATGCCTTTTCGTGGTGGTTCTGTGTTGGCCTCATCTGATTTAAAGGGAGAAGGAAACGTACTGGAGGAGGATACTGCTTATCCACACCACCATGCACAGCAAAGCTCTGCTTGGAGTAGTCTTGGAGACAGAATGTGCAGCCAAGGGACTTGCATCTGTGAGATTAGTTACCAAGGTTTGCATTCACATAAGAGCTTTTGTTCTATAGCGAATCCAAAGTGTCGTGTTGGCCACAGGAAAAAGGAAAAAAAGTAGGTTTGTTGTGTTTGTCATCAGCTCTTCTTCAGTACTGAGATGCTACTGTGGTATTTGCACTGTACAGGGCAAGAAACTTGTGGGAATCATAGAATGGTTTGGATTGGAAGGGACCTTAAAGATCATCCAGTTCCAACCCCCCTGCCATCAGCAGGGACACCTTCCACTAGACCAGGTTGCTCAAAGCCTCATCCAACCTGGCCCTGAACACTTAAGATGGCATATAATTAAACTATGTAAGAGATACATAGTAGGAAGCAGATAACAACAAAGGCAAGAAGTTGCCACTGTAGAAAGGCACACGTACTTCACCAGACAGCGTAACCAGGGTTGGAAAGTATGTTGCTTGTCCTGAAATGCTTTGAGA